ACATTTGACTTTTTGAATCTTTTTCTTCAAAATCAAACACCAAAATTTATTAAAACCAGCCTGGCAATTTTGAAACACCTTACACTTTAAAGTATTCACCAAACTAAAATCACTCCCTAAGCCAAAAAAAAAATTCCTTTTGTGAATTGCATTTCTCTTAACATTTTGACAACATATATGAAATTTCTTACTGTTAACATAAGCGAAAAGTGTGGTAAGAAATATGATTCTTCATGATAATTCTCATTGCAAATGAGACTGTTTTCATACCGATTAACAAAACCAAAAGGAACTAATTAGCAAGAAACCATATCTTGATGGAGTGTCCTGCATGAGAGTAGCGCTTTAATAACGCTTTTTGTTGGAAACCTTTCATTGCATAATCGGTCTAGTAAATTTTAGATTATCTTGATGGTTCATGATTGAGGATACTAAAGCTTTCTGGATTTATATAACCCTTTGGGACAAGGCCATTTGATTACATATATATATATATATAGTATATATATATATATATATATATAATATTCTTTTGCTTATGCTCTTCAAAGTGGTTGTGATGTGTGCTTATAAAATAAAATCTTTGGAATGACTAGAATAATTAAATTCAAAGATTCTCTTCTTTGAAAGAATAAGGTTTCTTTATGGAGGAGATTCTAAAGAACATGGTGATAGAGAGATAGAGCGATTTTTAAAAGTATTCATTGTGGCTATGGCTTTTGGAGTGACTAATGAAGGTTATTAAAGATTAATATAGATTTTTGGTTTAGTTATGATTTTTAATTGTTAAATACTTATTTAAGAACAGATATGACATCTCATTACTTTTTAAGAATGTAATCTAGTAAAACTCAATTGATTATTTTCTTATAGGAAAATAGACTGTTTCTAATAGTTAAAGTTCGTAAAAATTATTCCGAGTGAAATTTATATACCAAACGATTGCTTATTAGGTTTTGACAATTTTAAAGAAGGGGCATAATATGAAAATTAGTAAAACATTAATTTCTAAGATTAGATTGGGTGCTTTTAAAAGACAAAACATATTTTAAAGTAATATTCAGATTTTTAAATATTTTGTCTGTGCATGAAAAAGTGAATATATGTGGGATAAAAGTAGCTAGTAATATTAATAATATTGTAATAGATGTGGCTTGGAGTTTTAAAAGGAATAAGTTCCTAATAAATAAAAATAGTTGGTGGAATCAAAATGTGCAGAAAAGATAAAAATAAGAATGCTGTTTGTTATAATAATTGGTTTAGTTAAATCTCTGAAAGTTGGGAAATATATAATAGAGCTCGTAAGGTAATTTAAGAAGCAATTGATGCGAAATATTTTAGAATGACGCTTATATAATAGTATTAGATTCTAAAGATGACAAAAGGTATGTATAAGTTCCAAACAAAAGATAAGAGTAGTAAGATTGTAGATCAAGTGAAGAATATTAAAGGATGAGTATAAATATTTTTTTAGAAGAGTATAATATTCAACAAAGGTGGATGAGATATTTTGCTAAGCTTTTCAATGAAGATTGTGAAAATTATGATGACTTTTAGCGACCTTAGGCACTCCAAATGAAAATAGATATTTTTTATTTTTATTGTGTAAATTAGTAAAACAAAGTTAAGAGAGGCTTTAAAGAAAATGCAGTATGGAAACCTAGAGGACCCTTATGATAATTCCAGTGGAGGTGTGAAAATGCTTAGGGAGATGAAAAGAATTTTTTGGCTTACTAAACTTTTTAATATTATTCTAAAAGACTATAGAAAAGAGGCAATAATGAGAGGGAAACTGAGGTTGTAGTGCTATTTTCAAGATAAAGATGATGCACAAGTAGTGCGGCAATTATAGGATGGTGAAGTAAATGTAATTGCTGTCAAAACTTTAAAAACTATGGGAGACGAAGTTATGTAGACGATAGGTTATAGACGTGATACAACTGTTTCTGCAAATAAATTTGGATTCCATGCCTGGTAGGTCTACTATAAGGCTATTCAGTTTATTGAGAGGGTTGAGTGGAATAGTTTAAGAGAGATTAAGGAGGATCTACATATGATATTTAATTGATTTTAGAGTAAACATATGATAAAGTTTCAAAGAGAAGTGCTGTGGAAGAGTTCTAGAAAAGAAAAGTTTTTATATGCTTTAGTTCAGTCATTAGAGATATGTATGCAGGAGCTGTTAATTGTGTCAAACACAAGGTGGGTTTTGACAAATATTTTCCTATTTCAGTAAAAGGTTTAAAATTGGGCGTAACTGCGCCTACGAGGCGGTTTTCGTCCGTGAGGCGAGGCGTAAGCCTCGAGGCGGTCTGGGCGTAAGCCATCACGAACACAGAATTGCGTAATGAAAAAATTAGGGATTTTTAGTTCAGGAAAATAAGTAGCATATTGGAAAATAAGAAGTAGATGCAATAAATTATGTACCAAAGTACAAAATCACAAAATACAGTTAACAAAACTCCCAAAAAATAACAAAAAACATATAAAATGAAATCATATCCCTCACTAAATGGGTCTTCAAGTGAATCTTCTCTCCAATTTGTACTATGAATACCATGTCATCTTCATCTCAACATGATCACTTGTTCTCCTGTTCATCTAAAAAGAAAAGATTAATGAGCTATATTAATGGATGAACCACTCATTATCTGGCGACTGAACAGAGAACATATACTTTAACTTGCAGAGCTAGTAAGATTGTGTGGTGTGGTACTAGTGGATGTACCCGTTTGATCTGCTTCGCCCCTCAATACATCCACAATTTAGATTCTTTCTACCTTTAAGTCCTGATAATGACAAAGTCTGGCCTCATCATCTATGAACCACTCATTATCAGACGACAGATCATCACACCAACGGGTCTCTCATACATCTTCAACCCCTTATTCCTCACCTCCTATCTCTTAACCTCTTGTTGTGCATTATGTATATCGAGGGAGTTCATTCTGAGTGTAGATAGTCGATTTCTTCTCTTTGTTTGCACTTGACTATATGATCTCCAATTTCGCTCACACCCAGAAGAAGAACAATAGGGCCCAACACTCTATCAGCAAACTCTGTAGCTCAGGGGTTCGGAATCACCAAAATTGGATCCACCAATTCAACCTGTTTCAAGAAAAATATTAATCAAAATTCTAGACTGAATAAGTGGTTTGCATTTAACCAAATTAATTTTATACCTGGAGACGTTTAGAAATGTAGTTTTTTGCTGCATTCTAAATCAAAAAAACCCTCTTTATTCCGGAACAGAACAAGCTGTAATCTGCAACTCCCTATCTGCCCTGCTCCGGTATTAATCTTTCAAATACAGTGATATAGAACCAAAGCTTAACCTCCGGATTTGAAGATTTTTTCCTCTGATAATAATTGAAATTTGAGGGTTAAGATAATATGCAGCTGCATGTAGAATGTCGTGTACTGCACTCCCACCGAGCATCAACCGATATCCCAATCTCCTATAACTTGCCTCCTCTCCCCCAAGTAGTGCAATCAACTCCTTGGCCTCATCATAGCATTTATAATAAAATCCATAGTGGTTTTTTCTCTGCATGCCACTAACGTAGAACTTGCAACTAAAGGGGCTCGTGCTCAATGGCATAGGTTCACAGTAGCCCAACATTTATCATTCAGAATTATCGTTTTCTTATCTCCTTTCGCTCACTCTTCTCCCCCAAACAGAGTTTAGCCATTCAGTTGATGTAAAACTGGCTTTCCAAAAGTTGCCTCACCTCCATCAAGCTCTGCAGTGTCATAAATAGGAGGTGGCAAAACCTAATAGATTCACAGTTCCCCAAAGTTAAATACGAAACATACAGTTGGAATGACTTACAATTGTAAAAAATATGAATCATACCTAGTGGTTGCAGGTCGAGTGATTTCTTTCTTTGAAATTTTCCTCATTAAGCTTAAGACCAAGAGTGATTGTAGATGAATTTTGTAAATCTTTTCTTTTGCCTCTAAAGAGAGCACTCTGTGCTGAGGTAAGTCCACCAAGATCCTCTAATTGAGATCAATACAATGTGCTTGCGCAAGGTGTCCAATAGAGGTGTGTCCTCTTCTCCATCAAACATCTGACCAAGCTGCTTTGTATGCACTGGCATTATCAGTCACTAACACTGGACAACCACTGCTCTTCAAAATCTCCTCACATAACTCCAATCAAGTAAATGAAATGAATGTAGCATTCTTCACGCTCATCAGAAGCTTCAACAGATCTTAAGAACACGTACCATAGGGGAATTGCTTTACAAGGTATTAAGATTATACTAATACCCTCTCTTCATGCATCAGACCATCCATACTGACATTATGGTTGTGCACACTGTCTCAACCAACCGTCTTTTAATCTAACATCAATGGTGAGCTCGGTGTTCTGTCAATTCTTCTTTTGAAAGATCCAAGTGCGCAACTCATACATAGAAGGTGCTCTTCACCCTCGTTCCATACAATCCCTCGACCGCATCATACATGAAGTAGGCAGACGATTAGCAATCATCGTTAATGTGTATTTAAGCATATTCAAAAAAAGAACTCCCAATGTCACATGCCAAACCTGTCGCCTGACCTCCTCTATGAGCCCGGAGATGACTGCACGCGCATAATCTCTCGTGCGCTTTACCTCACTGCTTGCCTGTCACGTAGTCCATATACTCCGATTCCATAGGACCCC